AATTTCTGTACCCCTTTTCTGATAATTACTTAATCATAACTGGCTGGCCGGTTATATTGTGATAATTATCCATAAAAAATAACTATTCTTTTTATATTGAACTAAAAATAAGAGTTTTATATAGAATGTGGTTGATTTTATTAGGTAATTTTTAGAATTTTATACAAACTATTTTTATAGAAATTATTTTCATATTAATGAATAAATATTTTTTTATATAAATAAATAAATACTAAAATACAGAAACACGTTGCATTATTTTATTAGGTAATTTTTAATTAATAAATATTTTTTATTTTAATAATTCTTGTCTAATTGGATTTGCTGTTATTAAAAAACTCATAATAAATATATAAATAAGTAATTTGTGTTAGGGTTTTAAATAAACTCTTTTAAAACATCTTTTTATATCAATTAATAAATAATTTTTTTATATTAATAAATAATTTGTAATTAATAAATATTTGCACATCTAATAATAGTATCGATAAAAACTCTTTTTATATCAATTAATAAATATTTTTTTATATAAATAAATAAATACTGAAACTCTTTGGCAGAGTTTCTGTAGTTTACTCTGAAATTCTGAATTTTTTGAATTCTCAATTTCTAGATGTACCCCTTCTTCCTTCCTCCATGCCTCTATTTATAGGCTTCTTGGATTAATAGGATGATGACATGTGTCTTTTTCTGATAATTATATAATCATAACTGGGCAGGACCGGTTATATTGTGATAATTATCCAAAAAAAAAACTATTCTTTTTATATTGAACTAAAAATTAGAGTTTTATATAGAATGTGATTGATTTGATTAGGTAATTTTTAGAATTTTATAGAAACTATTTTTGCAAAAACTATTTTTATATCAATTAATAAATTTTTTTTTTTGTAGAAATAAATAAATACTGAAATACTGAAACATTTTGCATGATTTTATTATGTAATTTTCAATTAATAAATATTTTTTATTTAATAATTCTTGTTTAATTAAATTTACTTTTATTAAAAAAAAACTCATAATAAATGAATAAATAGGTAATTTGTGTTAGAGTTTTATAGAAACTCTTTTAAAACCTCTTTTTATATCAATTAATAAATAATTTTTTTATATTAACAATACTTGTCTAATTTGATTTTCTTTTTAAAAAAACTCATAATAAATATATAAATAGGTAATTTGTATTAGAGTTTTATAAAAACTCTTTTAATATATCTTTGTATGGTGTGATATAGTTTTATTGAAAATAAAATAGGTAATTTGTGATAGAGTTTTTTAGAAATTATTTTATTTTCTTTAAATATATCCTTGTCTAATTAGATTTAATTTTACTAAGAAACTCATAATAAAAGCTAATTTATGGTAGAGTTTTAGAAAAATTATTTTATTTTATATATCAATTAATAAATATTTTTATATTAATAATTATGGTCTAATTAGATTTTCTTTTATTAAAAAATTCTTAATAATAAATAGATAAATAGGTTAATATAAGTTTTATTACATTGATTTTATTGTTTTAAATATTTTTTTATATAAATAAATAAATACTTAAATACTAAAACTCTTTACACATCTAATAATAGTATAGACAAAAACTCTTTTTATATTAATTAATAAATATTTTTTATATAAATAAATTTTTAGTGTGGCTTACAGCAATAAACTCACGACTCATTTACATTAAGGATTTTATTAAATTAAAAATATGAAAATTGACAAATAATTTAATATATGGACCATTTGGTCAAACACAATTGATTATAGATTGAATTTTAATTTTATTAGATAATTTTGAGTTTTATAGAATTTATATTGAGAGCTCTTTATTGTGAATTAAACTTTTTTTATATTTTATTAATTTGAATTTTATTAGGTAATTTTGAGTTTTATATAATTTATATCAATTAATAAATAAATACTGAAACTCTTTGCACAAAGGCCGAGAAAGTAATACTACACTTGATCTTAGCCAAAGAGCAAGAAAGGTTAGCCAAAAGGTCGACCCAAAAAAGTTTAGTACTAAACTTGATCTTAGCCAAAAGGGCGAGAAGGTGTGATTATTATTTCTTTAACTATATAGTTTTATAAGAGACTTTCATGTAATTCTTTTTACTTAAAACCAATATGGGACTTTGTAATTTGAATTAAACTCTTTTTATATTTTGTTAATTTAAATTAATTTTAATTTTATTAGGCAATTTTGAGTGTTATAGAATTTATATCAATTAATAAATAAATACTGAAATATTGAAATACTGAAACACTGAAACACTTTGCACATTTAATAATAGTATAGATATATACTCGTAAAAGGCACGTGTAATGCACGTGATAAATGTTTTGTAACTTATCGAATTTTTATTTTTATATATATTTTAATTATTTTATAGAAATTATTTTATTTTATTTATATATATCATTGTCTAATTAGATTTTCTTTTATTAAAAAACTAATAATAAATAGATAAATACAGAGGTTATATGTGATAAAGTTCTATTTTAAAATTAATTAATAAATATTTTTATATTAAAAAATAATTACTAAAATTATTTTATTTTCTTTAAATATATCCTTGTCTAATTAGATTTCCTTTTCTTAAAAAAAAATTCATAATAAATAAATAAATACAGGTTATATGTTATAGAGAAAATAAAATAATTAATTTGTGGTAGAGTTTAGGTAATTTGTATTAATGTTTTATAGAAACTCTTTTAATATATCATTATTTAATGTGATAGAGTTTTATTAAAAATAAAATAGGTAATTTGTGGCAGAATTTCATAAAAATTGTTTATTTTCTTTAAATATATATATCATTGTCTAATTAGATTTTCTTTTATTAAAAAACTGTAATTTGTGTTAGAGTCTTAGAAAAATTATTTTATTTTTTACATCAATTAATAAATATTTTTTATATTAATAATTCTTGTCTAATTATATTTTCTTTAATTAAAAAACTAATAATAAATTGATAAATCAGTAATTTGGGTTAGAGTTTTATATAAACTCTTTTAAAAATTTATTTTATTTTATTTAAATATATCCTTGTCTAATTAGATTTCCTTTTATTAAAAAAACTCCTAATAAATATATAAATACCTGTTATATGTGATAGAGTTTTAAAAAAAATAAAATATGTAATTTGTGGTAAAGTTTTATAGAAATTATTTTATTATCGGTAAATATATTCATAATAGATAGATAAATACAAGTTATTTGTGATAGCGTTTTATAGAAAATAAAATAGCTAATTTGTGGTAGAGTTTTATAGAAATTATTATTTTTTTCTTTAAATATATTTTTATCTAATTAGATATACTTTATTAAAAAAACTCATAATAAATATATAATGTGATAGAGTTTTATAGAAAATAAACCTGCTAATTTGTGGTAGATTTTATAGAAATCATTTTATTTTCTTTAAATATAATATTGTTTAATTATATTTTCTTTTATTAAAAAAATTCATAATAAATAGGAAATATGTGTTAGAGTAAATAGAATATTTTCTTTTAAAAACTCTTTTTATATCTGTAAACACAAATTTTGTAGTCTGCAATAAAAACAAAATTGGGAGCAAATAGAATATTTTATTAATTTATAAAGATAAAGTACAATCCTCTGTAATAATATTTCAAATAATAAGGTCCTCTGATTCGATCTCCTTTTTGATTGGTTAGATCCAAGGGCTGCACGAGCTTGATCTTGAATCACCGTGAAATTTGGATGAAGAACGTTACGTCTTTAGCTGTGCTTATTGTTGATTACCGTGGAATTTGGAAGAAGAATAACAAGATTCGATGTGCTTGTTATTCTTCGTTTTCAAAGATGATTTGTTGAATTTGATGAAGAACAGCAAGACTTTGGATGTGCTTGTTGTTCTTCGCCTTCAGGTTTGCTCTTTGGATTTCTGATTCGTACTCTGAATTTGTATCTGAATTTCTAGACTTTTGAATTATGAATTTATGTCATTTGTTGAACAATACATCTTGGTGTTCTTCGCCTTCCTGGATTTCTGGACTTTGAATTTTTGTCCCCTCCTTCTATTTATAGGCTTCTTAGGTTAATAGGATGATGACACGTGTCCTCCTTGATAAAAAAATAATCATAACTGGGCTGAGCCGATTATATTATGATAATTATCCTTAAAAATAATTATTCCAAATATATTTTATTAGGAATAATTATCAGTTTATTTAACCATCTGGGCTGAGCTAATTAAATAACTTAATTAAATATTAGGCCCATATTTAGTGGGTCCATTGGTCAAAACCAAAGCCCACTAAAATTTTAGTGTTTACAAATTACCCCCACTTGGAGTCCCAAGTTTGACAGGACTTGTCTTCTTTTTCAAATGTATCCAACTTTCCTTTTCTTCTTCTTCTTCTTATTTTATTTTATTTTATTTATTTATTTATTTTTTTATCCATCTTTGGATTGTAAGATTTCCTCTTTTGCTTTTCTATCCAACTTTGGATTGGAATTTTACTTTCTTATTTGAATTGAATTATACAAATCTTAATACAAATAGGAGGTATTTTGTTGCCTATATATATTCCCAATATTATTGAGTTTGATATCAATTTCAATATTCTCTGACTTGTCAGATTACAACCTCACGAATTTTTTTCCTTTCCTTCTTTTTTTTTTTTTTTTTTTTTTCCCCTTTTTCACGAATTTTTTTTTTTTTGCTTTCCCTTTTTTTTTTTTCACGAATTTTTTTTCCTTCATTTTTTTTAAAGCATTTTTTTCCTTCCATTTTTTTTTTCTCTCTTTTTTTTTCCACGCACTTTTTTTTTTTCTCCTCCTCCAGTGATAATCATTTTTTTTTTTAGTGATGCTAGTCAACCATGGTCTTTTTCAAGAGTTTCAAACTCCTTACTATCACCATTTTGAAGCGAGAACAGACTTTGAGAGGTCATGCCACCAGCACAGACAGTGTTGTTAGCAGCCACGCATTGATTCAGGACGAACTAGTTGGGTTGTGATTCCTCACAAGCGGGCTCCGACCTAGGGAAGTCCCCGAGCCATGAGCCGTAGAGATGCGGCCTTGGAGACGAGTAAGCTTCGAGATGGTGAAGTCTCGTTCACACTTCAGTGTGATGGGGGCCTGAGACGTGTGGAGCTCAATGGACTCTACGCCGAAGTGATTGGCTGATTCAACAGTTTTCCACTTGGCCCATTTGAGGCTAACCGAACGGGGCTTATGATCTTGTGGTTCACTTCTAAACCGGGCGAGTTTTGCTCCAATATCTGCTGTGCCCATGCCTTTCCAAACCCATCGTGTAACATTTTCAGAATTTTTGGTGTGGCCCAACCACCACTCAAGTTGTTTTATTGACTTAAAATTACTAAACTATCCTTTCCGTTCCTACTGTTCCTGCCAAATTAATGGTTCTTTATAAATATTATCTAATTTCTTTCAGTTTTTTTATTGAAAAATGATAGGTTTTTCGATTTGAATTGCTGACTCATCTTCCGAATACAACGTGGTTGGATCACATTAGAACTCTTAAAACAAAACCCCGTAAATATCTCTTTCTTTTCGACTCATTCCCAACCACGTTGTATTCGGAGAATGAGTCGCCAATTGAGGTCGGAAGACCTATCACTTTTCTTATTGAGAAATGATAGGTTTTTCGATTTGAATTGCCGACTCATCTTCCGAATACAACGTGGTTGGATCACATTGAAACTCTTAAAACAAAACCCCGTAAATATCTCTTTCTTTTCAACTCATTCCCAACCACGTTATATTCGGAGAATGAGTACCAATTGAGGTCGGAAGATCTAGCACTTCTCTTATTTCTTTCTATACATATAACTTTTACTATTTTTTCTCTTTCCCAAGCAATATTTTGAACCTCCTTTTTTTTTTTTTTTTTTTTTTTTTTTTTTTGGATTTTAAAATAAAAACACGCATACACACATTATTTTTGCTTCCATGGGATTCGACCACTCACAAAAATTTCAATCTGAAATCACCCATTCCAATATATTTTGATCATAAAAATTATAAATGCCAAGTTATTTCATAATAATTAGACAATTATTAATCAAAAGTGAGGTTTAAAATAATTTATGAAATAGTTGTGAAGTGTAAGAATATTTTTGAAGGATAATTACTTTATTGTATTTTATTTTACTTTAAAAAATTAAAGTGCATGAGGTTAGAAAAAGCGAGAAAAATATTATTCCTCTTATTTATTTATTTCTTTAATTTTATGTTTTTTTCAAAAATAAATAAAGGGAAACATAAGGGTCCGTTTGGATGGCGATAACGTTATATGTTATGGTTTGGTACGATATGAAAACAACTGTTTTGGTATTGGTATGTTTTTAGTAGAAATCGGATCCATGTTTGGTAACGATTGTTTTGTTTTTAATAATTGTATATCAGAAACATGATAACGCGTTTGGTATTGTCATGCGTTTTAAGAAATTCAAAAACAAAACACGTTTGAGAATAGTGTTTTGTTATTAAAAATTCTGAATCAATAACAGAATACCTGTTTGGTAAAGACTGTTTTGTTTTGTTTTGAAAAATTATATATATGAATACAATTATAAGTTTATATGTAAAATAGTCCATTTTTCTTTATGATTTGAAATAATTTATGGAAAAAAAAAAAAAAAAAAAAATCTGCATTAGAGTTGGGAAATTTTTTTTTTGTTAAATTTACAAGTATAATGGCAACCAAACTACTTTGTAATAATGAATAAATCTGCATAAACATGATTAATGGCAACCAAATTACAAATCTAACTTTGTAATAATCTTTTAATGAGAGTAGATCTTTGCACTCCATTTATCTTTTTCTTTTGGCTTGCATTCCATTTAACTTTGTTTTGTTTCATATATATATATATATATATATATATATATATATATATATATATTCATGAAGAATGTGAGAGAGAGAGAGATCCTTGTAGTTAAAACTAACAAGAAACAAAGCCAAAACGTTAATCGTCTTGAATTGGTCAGAGTTGAAATTTGGTGAACATTGAAGCTTGTAAATAGTTTTACTTCACTTAGATTAGTTTGAAATTTTGCAGTGGAGGTCCTTCAAATTGGTAATATTTTTTTTTGTTTAGTCATAAGACCATTTCCCCTTTTGTTGAGTATTTATTTTGATAACGGACTTGTGAATATTTCATACAATATCCAACCATAAGCAGAATTGATAAATATGAATAAAGATTAAAAGTAAGCAATCAAGGAAGATCCCTCTTACAAGACTGAACGACATTCACATATATACTTCCACGTATAGTTTTGCTTTATACATCACAATCTTAAGAACTTGAGTGTTGCATCATTCACATATATACTTCCACATATAAGAAGCTAGACATTCCTTTAAAATATTTGAAAGTACACACACACTTCATTACACTTACAAAAAATATACACATAATTGGAGATCACTAATATTCATTCCATAAAATGTACACCCACTTTTTTATACTTGCATAGGCCTCCATTTGATTAACTTAGAGATCACTAGCTTTCTGGAGTTGCAGCAACTAGAGAATGCTTCCTATCAATCCCGCTGGTGCCACTGCCTACAACTTACTGCCATGTCCTTCAATGTAGTAGCAAAAAATGAATTTGAATGTAAAACAAGACATTACCTATAGTAGCAAAATATAAAGCAGAGTTAAATTAAATTTTTATTATTTTTTTAAAAAAAAATCCGGCATGACTTCCCCTTAAAAATGGACATTTCCAAAATTTCAAAACACAATAAACCCAAGGGACACCGCCCACAAAATTAATTCAATAAGGGACACCGCCCACAAAATTCATTTAACAAGGGACACCGCCCACAAAATTAATTCAATAAGGGACACCGCCCACAAAATTCATTTAATAAGGGACACCGCCCACAAAATTATTTCAATAAGGGACACCGCCCACAAAATTCAACTAACAAGGGACACCGTCCACAAATTTAATTCAAGCAAGATATATCTAACCTTCTTTCAGGCTAAGCTGCAAATTTGGAGTGTAAATGACCTCATGCAAAACAAAACACATGAAGAACATTAGAGAAAAACAAAATAACACACGGTAGGAATGAAATAATTAGAAGTAGTAAATAAGATATATCTAACCTTTTTTCAGGCTAAACTGCAAATTTGGAGTGTAAATGACCTCATGCAAAACAAACCACATGAACAACATTAGATAAAAACAAAATAACACACGGTAGGAATGAAATAATCAGAAGTAGTAAACAAATATATCTAACCTTTTTTCAGGCTTAGTTGTAAATTTAAAGTGTAAATGACATCATGCAAAACCAAACACATGAATAACATTAGAGAAAAACAAAATAACACACGGTAGGAATGAAATAATTAGAAGTAGTAAATAAGATATATCTAACCTTTTTTCAGGCTTAGTTGTAAATTTAAAGTGTAAATGACCTCATGCAAAACAAAAGACATGAACAACATTAGAGAAAAACAAAATAACACCCGGTAGGAATGAAATAATTAGAAGTAGTAAATAAGATATATCTAACCTTTTTTCAGGCTTAGTTGTAAATTTAAAGTGTAAATGACCTCATGCAAAACAAAAGACATGAACAACATTAGAGAAAAACAAAATAACACCCGGTAGGAATGAAATAATTAGAAGTAGTAAATAAGATATATCTAACCTTTTTTCAGGCTTAGTTGTAAATTTAAAGTGTAAATGACCTCATGCAAAACAAAAGACATGAACAACATTAGAGAAAAACAAAATAACACCCGGTAGGAATGAAATAATTAGAAGTAATAAATAAGATATATCTAACCTTTTTTCAAGCTTAGTTGTAAATTTAAAGTGTAAATGACCTCATGCAAAACAAAAGACATGAACAACATTAGAGAAAAACAAAATAACACACGGTAGGAATGAAATAATTAGAAGTAGTAATCAAGATATATCTAACCTTTTTTTTTCTCTAATGTCGCAAATAGAGTGTAAATAACCTCAGTAGCAAATTTTACAAATACCCTAAAGCTCACTCCCAAAATGACAGAGAAGATAACACAACAACAACTAATACGTAGTTCAAAATATACCATTTAAGTATATATTACATACCAAATGAAACACAGGAAATTAACTAAATACATATTACATGTCATATATTACAAAAGATGGAAGTTTATCTAACTTCATCTTTCAATAACAACGATAATGAGCAACAAGAGGACAATCACAATAAATATGATTGTGATAGCAAGACATCCACAACCTAGGAAGAGCATGTACTTCTGTCTACATTGTTCATTTTGAATCATTGCAATGACTCTGTCCAAGTCAGATTGAACCTGTTCTTCAACTTGTGCACCTTGGTGCAACTCATCCACCCACATAAATGCATTCATATGTGACTACAAGAAATATAAATTATACAATTAGGAAACAGTAACAGAAATAGCACCTAAAAGTAATTGACCATACCTCCCGAGCCGGACACCTATAGAATTGTCGACCATCATTTTTTGGAGTTCGAGCCCTATACAGATGCATAGGACCTCTACCACATGCACATTGTGGTCGCTCACCTTCAAGCCTATACATAAGTGCGCCTACAAGTACTAAAGCATTTAATATTTGATATCCTAATATAATTAGTTATTACAGTTATCCATAAATAAGGAGCATCTGAGTTTAATTTACGTAATATAATTAGTTATTACAGGCATCCATATTTTAATTCTACACACTATTAGACAGTTTTATAATTAGTGATTACAGTGCTCCCAAATTAGGTTGGCAATACCATCACGATAAATATCCATCTGTCGTATCTGTGTATTAGTAGCACTGACCACCTGAACATCGTCATCCACATCAAGTTCATTTTGTGAAGATTGAGGGGTTTCAGAATCAAAAATTTCATCAGATTCACCTTGGGATCTTACGAAATTATGCAATGTACAACAGGCAATGACAATAAGAACTTGAGTGTCAAAGTGATAAGGGGGCATTTGCTTCAATATAGCGAATCTCATCTTTACCAACCCAAAACATCGCTCTATGATATTCCTCAATGACGAGTGCCTAAAATTGTACACCTCTTCTCTACCATGTGGTCCTCTAGTATGTCTACGATATTCCTGCATATGGTAACGTTGACCTCGGTAAGGGGCCAAAAACCCCGGTTGATTGGCGTACCCAGAGTCGACTAAATAAAACTTACCTGTCATATTAAGTATGTTAAGTATTAAAGTTAACGTATTTGTAATGTAAAATGCACA